GGTTAACATGTCTTTAGATGTTAACACAAACAGCCGAAGTGTTTGTTTACCTACACAAACAGCTGAAGTGTGTTTGTTTACCTACACAAACAGCCGGTGTGTTTGTTTACCTACACAAACAGCTGAAGTGTGTTTGTTTACCTACACAAACAGCTGGTGTGTTTGTTTACCTACACAAACAGCTGAAGTGTGTTTGTTTACCTACACAAACAGCTGAAGTGTGTTTGTTTACCTACAGACTAAAGCAGGTGACTCATGTTTCTGAGTGCTTTGTTTACACTGAGCGCAGACCTGTAAACTCTTTCAATGTTTGATTTAATTGAGTTTAAACATTAACTGAAATGAAATAAAATGTTTTCAGGTTCTGAAGCAGAAGTCTCATCATCAGAACAATGAAACATTTTTACAGATCTTTATAATCCAGTCTGGATCTGATGAGTCCAGCTGGTCTAAATAAACTCGGTTTGTTCTGCAGCAGAACAGATGTTTCCAGCTGTGATTTAAATGTTAATTTTCTCAGGCATGACTCGACAGTCCTTACAGCACTGCCTCACAGTTAGCAACACACCATGTTAGCCGCGGCTAACTCAGCTAGCATCGCGTGACTCTCACCTGCAGATTCCACCAGTGGGTTCCCACGAAGTTAGAATAATGTCCGAGCTGCAGAGAGATGACTTCTCTACAAACTCCGCTCATCGTGACCGAGTCAGCGAGTGAAAACAGCTGAAAGCTGCGCAGCTACACACATGTTGACGCTTTCTGGACGGGACGGCAGTGAACGCACCACAGGAGGCAACGGACACTTCTTATTGGCTGGAAGAGGCAGTAAGATAAAAGATTATTGGCTGAATGAAAGCTGCTCTCTATTGGCTGAAAATGATCCGGGGTTCCCCCTCTCGGTGGGCGGTGCCAGCAGAGGGAGAACTTCCGGACCGGAGCTGCAGCTGAAAGGCTTCAAACGGAGCTGTTTCTGTTGTAATAAACAGATTCAAACATGTTTATTATCCGCTGTTTGAAACAGGAAGTGAGTTTTAGATAAAAAATTAGACCGGAATTTCCAGCGGGAGTTTGTTTTAGTTAAAAATCAGACCGGAAGTTTCCAGAGGGAGTNAATTAACATAAACACCCAGTGAAAAAACAGTAAGAAAAAACACCAAGATAGTGGTTAAATACTCACTTTTACTCTCGCTCTTCTTCTGCTCTCCATACACCCTCCTCTCACAAGAAGAAGAAGAAGAAGAAGATGATGATGATGATGAGCTGCGGGATGGACCGGAAACCAAACGTGAGTAAAGCTGCAGAGTTCAGGATCATCCAGGTGTTTCCAGGTGTTCACCTGACTTGTGTCACCTGAGCAGCTGAGGAGGAAGAGGAGGAGAGGAAGGAGTCCGGAGCTGGAGGAGGTGATGAAGATAAAGATGGTCACCTGAAGGAGGAAGAGTCCAGCAGAGTCCAGTCCTCCAAACACAGACCTGCTGCAGGTGGACATTATTTATTTACCTTAGTCCTGACCCCAAACCCTGGATCAGGTCCTGATCCAGTCCTGACGGAGTCTCAGAGGGGACAAGATTATCCTGTCAGAGAGCAGTAAAAACAGAAACACGTTAACTTTGTGTTTTACTGACTTTATTTAAGAAGGTTTGATTCATCAGATCAGGTTTTTTTCAGCAGTGAAATATAAAAACTAAATATTTAAACTTTTAAACTTTAAGTTTCTAATCAGTCATTTACCAAAAACTGATGAAATTAAAGTCGGCTTCCTGTTTGTTCCTCAGCTGGGTTCCTGCAGGTTCTGGTCCGGAGCTTCTTTGGCTTCCTGGCAGCAGTGGTTTGTGGGATGCTTTACGCTGCGTACCTGTCGGCGCATCACGACAGGAAGTTCTGGTTTTCAACCAGACAGGTGGGTCACAGTCCTGTTTCCTGTTGTCTTCACCTCCTGCAGCTTTACAACAAACAATAACAAGGCCCGCGGGCCAGAACCGGCCCACACAGGATTTTAAACGTCTCTGTCTTTGTCTCAGGATCTGGAGCGAGAACTGTCCTTCCAGGGAGGGAGTGGCTTTTATTATCATTTCTACAAGCAGATGTTAGCGGCTCCGTCCTTTCAGACAGGTGGGCTTCAGCTCTCTGCTCGCCGTGGTAGATAATGCTGAGTCATTGTTTAAAATGCAGAGTCATAACTAAAAAGGCTAAGTTGTCATTAAATCAGACTCATCGTTTAAAATACGGAGTCAGTAAAACGATGAATCATTGTTTAAAACACTGAGTCRTTATTTAAAATTGAGTCATCRTTTAAAATGCTGAGTCATCRTTTAAAATGCTGAGTCATCGTTTAAAACGCTGAGTCATCATCTAACAGCGTTCTCATTCCAGGGTTCTCTGACCTGCTGGTGGACAACCGTACGGTTTCAGGAGAGACGATGAACTCGGTGCAGCGCTTGTTTCTGTATCCGGAGCTTCTCACCAGCTTCATCTACAGAGTGACGGGCTGCCAGGTGGTTCTGGTTCTGATCCAGTGTCATTGTTCTGAAATGATCCAAACAGTTTTCTGGAAGGTTCTGGTCTTGTGTTGGGTCAGGACTATGTGGAACCCGTCTACTTCTACATCGGGTCGGTTCTGGGCCTGCAGGCGTTCTACGTCACGGCTCTGTTCGTGTGCAGCTGGATGATGAGTGGATCCTGGGTGTCGGGGATGCTGGCCGTGTCCTGGTACCTGATCAACAGGTGAGCAGGAGTCCATCAGAACCGCCTGTCYGACGACCCGTCCTGAGGTCCAAAAGAGTTCTGTTTGTTCCACAGACAGGACGCCACCAGAGTGGACCAGGCGGTTCCGCTGCGGCTCAACTGGGCCCTGCCCTTTTTCTCCTGTCAGGTGGCGGCTCTGACCGGGTTCCTGAGCAACAGCCTGGGTTCTGCTGCTGAGGTCCGTTTCTCTTCAAACATCTTTCCTCCTCGGGTCAGAACCTTTCCAGGAGGGTCCACAGAGTCCTGATCCACTTCCTGTTCCTGTCTGTAACGGTACCGGTTCTGTTTGTGTGCAGATGTTCTGCTACATGACCATGAGCATCAGCACCTTCAGCTTCCTGCTCCTCTGGGAACACGCCCACTACGTGCTCTTCATCCAGGCGGTCTGCCTGGTCCTGCTGGACTCTGTGGACCTGGTACCTCAACGCAAGGTAGCTGACCATGACCAGGTGACCCTGTGACCAGGTGATCCTGTGACCAGGTGACCCTGTGACCAAGTGATCCTGTGACCAGGTGACCCTGTGACCAGGTGATCCTGTGACCAGGTGACCCTGTGACCAGGTGACCCTGTGACCAGATGATCCTGTGACCAGGTGACCAGGTGATCCTGTGACCAGGTGACCAGGTGATCCTGTGACCAGGTGACCCTGTGACCAGGTGATCCTGTGACCAGGTGACCAGGTGATCCTGTGACCAGGTGATCCTGTGACCAGGTGACCAGGTGATCCTGTGACCAGGTGATCCTGTGACCAGGTGACCAGGTGATCCTGTGACCAGGTGATCCTG